AAAAAAAAAAAAAAAAAAAAAAAAAGAAAAGCATGCTTGGAAGCAAACATGCTGCCCATCAAAACTGGACTGGATCAAAAAGATGTGATACATATACAATGGAATATTATGCAGCCATAAGGGACAAACGTGGACTTCGCAGCAATTTGGATGGATTTAGAGTCTATCATACTCAGTGATCTATTAAGAAACAAAGAACTAGCCAGGCTCGGTGGTTCAGCCTGTAATCCCGCGCCTTTGGAAGGCTGAGGTGAGTGGATTGCATGAGACCGCGGGTTCGAGACCCGCCTGGGCAGTGAGACCTCATCTCTACAATAAATAAAAAAATCATCCGGGCATGGTAGCGCATGCCTGTAATTCCGGCTACTTGGAAGGCTGAGAAGGAAGGATCGCCGGAGCCCAGCAGGTCGAGGATGCGGTGGCCGGGAGCGGCCACTGCACTCCAGTCTGGGCGACAGAGTGAGACTCCAACTCAAAAAAAAAAAAGAAACAAAGAACTGAGTACCACATGCTCTCACTCACAAGTGGATCCTGAACATTTACCATAATATTTTAAGAAAGGGATTGGCAGTAGCAGGATAGTGACAAGGTGAGGGGAGAGAACATAACATCAAAAAGGGTACCTGATCTCAAACCAGGCAAAGTGGGGACCAAAGGGAGGGCCAAACTTTACCTGTACAATGTCTAATTATACACCTAATCCTGAATTGTACCCCAAATATTTAAAAAATATATATATATATAAGAAAATAATAAATGCATGCTTATAGAGAAGTCCTTTACTATCTCTAGGAATTGGCTAGCCCTGGGAGGAGCAGTATCTCAGGATCAGAAAGGCCCCAAGTAGTGAAATATCAGAAAATAAAAAGACATGATTAATACATCAGAAAAATCACTACTGTCATAGCCACTAAAATTGTATTTTATAGTGCTGTAGACTTTGCTCTTGCTTAAGTTATTAAAAAACATATACATTTGATGTTAAATTTTATTAGTGCTGATTTGTTTGTTTAAAATGAGTACTTATTTCCACATATTATAGAAACAGTATGCTATTCATAATTCCAACTCTATTTTTGGTGATTGAGGTAGGTCTTATATCCAAAGAGAAACTTTCTAAAGATATCAGTTCCAAGGACTAGGAAGGGAAAATCTATGGGAGTGTAAAAGAGTTGACACTAAACTGAAATTTTAAAAAAGGCTTGGTTACTGCTAGGGGAGGGAGGGGCATATCTCATTAACAAGGGTACCTGCATAATCAATGTTTATATACTTAACCCTGAAATGTACACCACATCCTTGTAATAAAAAATTTTTTAAAAGTCAGTTAGACTATAGGCTGAACAAGTCATATTAGCATTATTAAGAGTCTTTATAGTGCTAGACTTAAAAATTTCACGATGAGTTATAAAAATATACATTTTATCAGTGTAGATTTAGAATAAGATGAAGTTTCAACTGTCGAATAAGCCTCAAATTATATTTTATTTTTTGTTTTTCTTTTCTTTTGGTTTTTCTCTCATTGTCGGGAATTGTGGTAAAGAATAAAACAAGTAAAGATAAAGAAGCCTATTATTTGTACTTAGTTTAAATTACTTATATAGAAATCTTTAAGTATAACTTCTAATGGAAATTTTCTAAGATTTCTTAAAAGTGAAGATACAACCGATTAAAGTCTTTTCTGATATATTACAGAATAGGCTTTCCAAAACAAACATATTTGATCGATCCCATAATTAAAATGATCATGATTCTCAATAATGACAAATCAGAGAGTGAAATGTCAAAAACCTCAAGGGGGTGGTTCTCCAATAAGCTAGATTAAAGCAGTGAGAATTAAAGTATCTCCCCATTCTGTGTGTGATAAAACAGACTATAAAAATGCTGTCAGATGTGCAGATTAATCATCCACACTCATGGGCTGTATTTAAAAATTCTACCTGCTACTATTGTTACTAGCAACAGTTCACATATATTGAGCACTTACTTTATGCACTTATCTAAGGGCTTCTTACAAAAATCTTGAGGTAGTAGTTACTATTATAACTCTCATTCTGGATATGAGAAAACATAGGCTAACACGGGCAAAAAGAGTTTATGCAACTTACCTGCGGTGAAACATCTTACAAAATGATAAGAGCCAGTATTTGCACCGAGGTACTATACTTCCAGGTGCTTAACACTCTATCACTATACTCCCTCTCTTAGATGAGTTTTAATTTCATTTAGACATATACAGAGAAGTGCTAAAGCTGACACACTTCAAAGTGGCATACTCCTAGTTTCAAGCAAAAGTTGGATCCAGGGGAAAAATCAGGGACAGACATAGAGGAGTTTCTCTCTTCCTTATACAATTTACAAACAATACTTGCCATTGTGGAAAGAGAAAATGAGCTCAAAAATAAATCTCATTGCAACTTTATCTCAAACAAGTTTTGTGTTCTGGTTTATTCTCATATTGGTGTTTTAGGTAGAACACTAAATTTCACCTTTTTGGAAAATTAAACTTTGAGGTGTTCTGAATGAAACCATAGCAGCAAGGGCATGTGACAAAGGAAGCCCGTGTTTTTATGCAGTGCTCGATCACCATGTCTGTTGCCACTCCACAGGCATGCAACGCCACCTGGAAAAGAAAACCAGACCTCAGCAGTAAGTTCCTTCTTAATGAATAGTGCAACTTTTGTGCCTTTTAAATAGTTCTTTTTTGGGCATACCAAAGGACTACTTGGCTATTCATATTAATTAAGAAAAGCAAGGTTCAAAGATTACAAATGGAATATTTCAAGTGAAGCATAAGATTCATTCAATGGGAAATCTGATGCAATTTTAATGTGGAAAACTTAACACATATGCATATCTAGACTAGTGCTCTTGCTCATTATGATTTAGTTCAGCTGTAGCATTGTGCCAAAGACACTAGGTTTTTGAAATGAGAATTTCTAGTCTAGAATTCTCACTGGCTGTGTGATCCTGGGCTACTTAAAATTTAGCCTCTTTGGGCCTCAGTCTTCTCAACTATAAACCATAGCTGACAATACTGATATATTATGGTGCTGTTGCAAAAAGTGTATTTGGAAAAACTTATCCAAATACTACATGAACATAATCCAGTCAGTACTGCACAAAACTGATTAGATTAGATCATATTATTTAGGGCATTTTGAGGTGTTTTCAAGGGGTTTATTTAAAAAAGAATGAATGAAATTATGAATCAGAATAATGAAAATAAAAGAACTCTAAAATGATTTTAAAAATTTTCAAAGCACATATCCTAGAATATATCTATATTTATTGCAAGCTGAAGTAGATAATTATGAAAATAGACCAAATAAAACAAAATAGGAAATTCAGATGTGAAGATTCTGAAAGACGAAAAACCTGTATTGCATTTTGCCAGAAAAATGCTCACATCTCCATTTCATTCTGGACAGAGACAAATTGTATTGGATTATAATTTTCTCTTCTAGGGACAGGTCTCACCAGCTTCAGATAGTGAGGGTCTATCAAGATGAAGAAGAGATTTTCTGGAAATTTCTGGATATAAAATATTATAAGCCAGATTCCCCTCTTGAACTGGAAAGCTAAAAACAATACTATGCTGGGAAAAGGAAAGCAAAATCTCTGCTCTCAATCCTCCTCCTGAATTCTTCCCTCTTTATATTTACATGGGCTGCACAGAGGTCAACAACCTCTATGTTGTGGTCAACCCACATTTTCTGTTTCATTCTGAAAACAGCCTGAGAAGTTGGCCATCTAGTGAAGGCCGCAACAACTACAGGGAATGGGAAAGTAAAGGATCTTGATTTCTCATCTGCCCCTTTAATTTAGTTAGCTTTTCAGAGTAAAAATCAGGCTAATCTGTATTTTCATGAGTAGCGGGAGAAAAATCTCATAGTAAAAATTATAGGTGCATTTTCCCCTGGAGGAAAAGAGAAGAGAACTTCCATGCACTGAGTGTCCTTTCTATGCTGGCACTATGCTATGCTGGAAGATGGCATGCAGAACTAGACTCACAACAACCCTGAAAGGCTTTATTATCTCCACTTTAGAGGTGAGGAGATTAAAGCTTGGGGGAAATTAAGAACTTGCCCACAACAAAACAGTTACTGAGGGGCAGGATCCTGACCCCAAAGTCTGACCCCTGTGCATTAATTACATCAGGCTGCTTCTCTACAAAACTTTCTTGAGGCACTGAAAAAAGAAGAGTCTAGACAATTTACTTTTTATAAGTCCCTCTTTCCTTAGGTTCACATTTCTTTTGCTAAACACAAAAGAATGAGTTTATTTCTGTCATTTAAACAAAATAATTACATAGAAGAACTTTTTACACAATAGTTTATAGATAACATAACAATTTACCAATTAAAAGGTTTTAGGTCTACTTTTACTGCATCACATACTCCTAGTTTCCATTGTCATTAAATGCCAACTCAGAAATAACAGGCAAATAATGAAGAGAGATATAGACCAAAGGAACTATTTGACATAGAAATTTAGCATATAATAAAGGTGGTATTTCAAACCAGGGGAGAAAAAAATGAACTTTTCTCCATTTAATAAGTGAGGTTGGGTTAAACTGACAGTGATATAAAAAATAAAAACTAGATACGTTCTTCCTACCATGCATAAGACATAAATAAATGAATTAGAGATTTTAAAAAGAAATAAATGAGACATAAGTGATTCTTCCATAGCCTAGGGGAGTGGGAAGTAATTCCTAACTATACTTGAAAATATTCAGGCAATAAGGGGTGAGGTTAATAAATCTGACAAAATAAAAATTTAAACAAATATATTAGAATGACAGAAAACCCCCAAAAACCATAAGTAAAAAGACAATGAAAAGTAGAAAGATTTACAACTTATAGCATAAACAAAGGGTTTATCTGTCTAATATATAACAAGCTTCTAAAAATAAAGAAAAAACCCCAATAATCTGATAGCAAAATGAACAAGAGATGTGGACAGATTACAAAACATGTAAATATTCCTTAAACAAAAGTTGACCCATATTGCTCAAAATAAGAAAAATAAATATTTAAACAAATTAAGATGCTATTTATTGCTTGTTAGAGTGTAAAAATCTTAGAATTTGATGTCTGTTGGCCAGGCTGCAGGGAAATAGACATGATCACGTATTGCTGATGGGAATACAATGTCACAACCCTATGGAGGAATTGATTGAGAAATATCTAGCAAAATTACCTATGTAATTGTATATTACTTCACTTCTAAAAATCTATTCAAGAGACACACTGGCAAAATTAGAAGATGCATTCACTGAGGAAATATTTGAAGTGACAAGAAAATGGAAACAATTTTCCACTGACAAAGGACTGAGGGAATAAAAACAATGGAGTACTTTGCAGCTCTAAAAAGGAATCAGAAATTTCTCCATACACAGCTACGGAGTAATCTTCAGGAGATAATTGCTAAGTGAAAAATCATGTTAGAAAATTCTTAAACTATTTTCAGCAATCATCACTGGTGGTTGTGTCATGTGTTTCTAGTACTCAAGTGTATAAATTGTGGAATAAAACAAAAAAAAAAGTGCTGGTGCCAATAGGAAATAGAGACATTGTTTTTAGTATGGGGGAAAGAGGAATAAGATAGATACATGAGGCAAAGTTAATATCCCATACTCCTGAATTTAAATTGGGAAGTATTAGTATAAACTCATGGTGATTTTGTTAAAGGAAAAAAAAGATCAGTGAAAAGCCTAGAAACAAAGACCAAACCAGCAACAGTGAACCAAGATTTTGATATTCTAAATACTATTTCCCTTAAAAGATTTTAGAGCTCTGAGGAGACATACTTGATACATGAGGCAGGAAATATAAGATGAGCTGGAACATTCTGTTATACTAGAAAGTAAGGAAGCAATCAAATACTGTTGAAGTTAGGAGGACTTCAGGAGCAACTTGAAGAAGCTCTCACTGGATAAAGATCAGCATCAATGAGAAAAACAACTGCAATGGATTGAAGTATTTCAAATATTATATTGACGAGTCAATAATGACACAAAAAATACCTCCCACACCGAATGGGTCACTTTTGGTAGATAGCCCACTTTGAAAACTGGAAAATATGAGACCTTTCCTATGTGAAATATTCCTCAGGGAAACAAAGTATTTGATAACAGAAATTAAATGAAGATGAAATGATAAAATTAGAATCTTGTCATTTTACAATCCTTGCTGAAATAAGGGATTGAATAATGGAGTTAGAGACAATGACCATGGATGCTGCTATCATCACACAAGAGACAACCAAACTGCTGATAGAACACCAGCATCTATGACATACTCCCAAATTGAAACTGAATCTAGTGCCTTTACAGTCTAGATCTAACTACCAATTGTTAGGAGATATAGCTAACAGAGTGATATGTGAAACAACACCTGGGGGATGCTATCAGCGAAATCCACATTGTGAAAAACTCTAAAAGACAAATGAGAACATAGTTTTGTAAACAAGCTATGGGGCAGAGGGCTGAATATGAGAGAATAGTGTGGTAAGCAGAATGATCTCTTAAAGATGTCCATGTCCTATTCTGGTTCTGATTCAGCAGGCCTAGGGAGGGGCCCAAGAATTGGCATTACCAACAAACTCCCAGGTATTGCTGATAGTGCTGGTCCTTCCACTGCATTGGTGTAGAGTTTCTGCAGCAACATGAAGGCGAGTGATCTTGTTGAGCAATTTCTTACAGATCATTAAATGTCTATAGTTGCTACTCACAGTTCCAGAAACTAAACTATTCATTCATTCACCATCCATTCCTGAATTTATTCAACAATCACTGGGCAATTCCTATATATCAGTATTATGCTAGTTGCTGGGAGTAAAAGGTAAAAAATATGGTTCCTTTCCTATGCTCTGCTAATAGCAACAACTGAATCCATTGTTGATTGATACAGATCAATCAACTGAATGTAGGGATTGTGTAGGCTTAAACAATTCTCAAATTTATTGTTATTTTTATGTGTTAGGCACCACAGGGGATATCAAGAAGAGTTAAACATTACATAAGCAACAGCATACAAGCAGTACACAAAACTATAATGCATGACACAATATGTTACATGTCATTTTTAAAAGAGTATAGGCAGGGCGCGGTGGCTCACACCTATAATCCCAGCACTTCAGGAGATAAAGGTGGGAGGATTGCTTGAGCTCAGGGGTTAGAGACCAGCATAGCCTCATTTCTATAAAAAAAAAAAAACTACTGGTATGGGTGGCCCATGCCCATAGTCCTAGCTAGTTGGGAGGCTGATGCAGGAGGCTGATGCAGGAGGCTGATGCAGGAAGCTGATGCAGGAGGATCACTTGAGCCTAGGAATTTGAGGCTGGGGTGAACTGTGATCATGCCACTGCACTCATTCTGGGCAACAGAGTGAGATGTCGACTCAAAGAAAAAAAGAAGGGAGATAAACAGAAATTATCAAAGGAGGGAGGGGGTATAATCAGATAGGGAAAAATCAAGAAGGGCCTTCTGGAGGAAGCAGCACTTGAAAAGGGCCTTGTAGGATAGAAAGACTTTGAAAAAGTAAAAAGCACAGAGGTAAAATAGCAGATGGCATTTCTTATGAGAAAGAGAATTATATTAATATTAATTATGTAAAA